CTCATGGGCATGTGGAAAGACAGTTGTGATGTGACAGTTGATGCCTTTGAATGCTGGTTTTGGTGAAGAATACTCAATCTATTATAGGTTGTCAGAATGAGGAACAAAGCTGTCCTGGACAAACATTCAGGATGCTCCTTTAAAGTAAGCATAACACCTGTTTTTTAAAGTGAACATATCACATACTTTTAAGTTGTCAAACAAATCTGTCTTGGATGCGATATTAAAAGTATGGTACTGTTAGAGACGATTTCCACACTGTATTGCATTACCTTTCTATGGAATGGACACAAATATGGATGTCTTCCAATTGTTTGCCTGTAGAGCTACCTTCCAAATTTCTTGGCATGGACCAGTTAACAAATAAATATTTTATAAAAAGTAGAGCCGGATTGCTGCTGGAATCAAGAGTCACAAGAGTTCATCTCTCCTACATAGGACATGTTGTCAGGAAAAGGCCCTGTAGAAGGAAATGGTGTTTGACACAGTCAGAAATATAAGAGACAAAGCCACTCAATGACAAGGACGGACAGCGTGGCAGCAACAGTGGGTTCAACTGTGACAGTTGTGATGGTTTCCATTGGCTGTTTTCACTCAGCATAAAGGCCTCCATGAGCTGAACATTTTAACCAAATTATTTCCCTATATACGTTAGGAGAGAAAACTAGTAAAGCAAAAGAACATGTATTGTGGTGCATGTAACTAAATCAAGACTTACGAGCTCATAGATAGAAGCTGACAAGGTTTTCATGGTCTGTTAACCCAGAATTACAGACAATCAAACATGACTACATAAAAGGTTGAGCCAGGGGACAATCAGCCACATCCAGTCACAGAACCTCCACGTGAAGGTCTCCCACTTGCCTGACATGAAGGTGAAACTGCTTTAATTTCCTAGAACCCTGCCTTCAAGAACCTCTGAGGATGCAGCGCAGGCCACATAGAGGATCAGGGACAGGGAAGGAGGAACATCAGATGGATCGGGACTTGAAATTGCCCAGGAGTGCCCTGGAGCCCAGCTCATCACCTGCCACCCCTGTTATACACCTGGAGGAGGGCAGGCCCGGAGGTGAAGATGCTGGTACAGGATGTGGAGGAAATGAAGATGCAACTAGCCATCTCCAAAGATGCACAGGCTACCATCCAGGTAAGCCCACCAGTCCCCACCTTACCCAGGAGTCATGTTCTGAATTATAAAAAAAACTTTTTACACCAAGAAAAGGACAAGAAAGCATAATGTGTATAATGGAGTGTTTATAAAAAACCAAGATAGGAATACCAATGAGAAACACCTGAAATTAAAAGGCGACTTTTAAAATAATATAATTTATATACAAACTTAATTACAACAGTAATTATATCATGGTGATTGGTGTGCTGGGGAGTTGGTTCCGACTCATAGAGACCCTGCACTGGGTTTCCGAGGCTGTAAATCTCCATGGGAGCAGACAGCCTCATGTTTCTCCAGCAGAACTGCTGGTAGTTTTGAACTGCTGACCTTGAGGTTAGCAACCCAACTTGCAACAGTAATTATATCATAGGTATCGATAATTACACTGAATCTACAGGGGTGAGTGAAGAATTATTCATACTCTGATTGTAGCATTGTGCTTTAATCACATTTTACAAAAGGCAAATACATCATTTTTTGACATAATCTCCTTGCATTTCAATATTTTTTATATTTGTCAGCAAGTTTTCATCTTCTTTTATTAAAAAAAATGTTTTCGGTTGAAATGCTAGCCAACAATGCACCACTGTCGTCTCTTCTTCAATACAGGTGAATCTTGTTTTTCAAAGTGCTGTTTTCAGGGGACCAAACAGGTGAAAAGTCCCATGGAGCAAGATCAGGTCTATAGGGAGGATGGTCTAACACAACAAATGGAAGGTGTTGCAGTGTTGACTGTGGGGCAGAAGTGGGTGGGCTTATTGTCAGGCAGGGTCACAATGCCCTAGGATGGCAGTCGTCTCTGTTTAATCCAAAGTTTACGCTTCACTTCACTGGTGAGTTCTACCAAACATTCAGGGAAGAGCTGTCACCAATTCTACTCAAATTATTCCAGAATATAGAGAAGGATGAAAAACTTCCTAATACATTTTATGAAGCAAGCATAACCCTCATACCAAAACCAGGGAAGGACGTCATTAAGAAGGAAAATATATAGACCAATATCCCTCATGAACATAGATGCAAAAATTCTCAACAAAATCCTAGCCAACAGAATCCAGCAGCACATCAAAAAGATCCAGTGGGATTCATATCAGGGATGCAAGGATGGTTCAACATTAGAAAAACGATCAACTTAATCCAGCATATAAACCAAGTTTTGGCTTCAGTGGATCATTGAGTATCACCCTGGAAGGAGTACTGATGATTGTTGAGCCTTTTTCCTGTCAGTGTTCCAATACTGGCCTTTGAAAATCCCAGAAAACTGTAAGCATCCAATTCCCAGCTGTTGGTTGATTTTTGAACTTTTTGTTGGTCGGTGATTAAGGATGTTTCCATTCCATACTCTGTTTTTATTCTTAAAACTGTAGTGATATTTTTGTACCATTAAGGATATTTAAAGATACTTTGACCTTCCTGCCAGTATGGGTCCAAAGTTTGCTTCCAGACATACTTCTCTCTGTGTACCTCCGTGAGTTGTTTTGGTACTCATCTCGCAGAAACTTTTTGAAACCAAGGCCTGTTGTGGATCATTTCATAGGTTGAGCCAAAAATTGCAGTCACCCATCCATTCAATAGAAGCATTTCATGCACACACTCAATGTTGCCATCAGCCCTGAGTGTGGACAGGCGCTTCAATAGAACCGGAATGTGGATAATTATTGACTAAGGCTCATAAATGGACACACACCACATAGAATTCTAAGCAACATTGAAGAAAAAGAATGAATCTGCAAAACATATCACATGGACATATACTGCATTGTTGTTATGTGTCGTGGAATCATTTGTTACTCATTAGCGACCCTGCACAGGGTTTCTGAAACTGTAAATCTTTACAGGAGCAGAAAGCCTCATCTTTCTCCTGTGGAACAGCTGGTAGTTTCAAACTGCTAACCCTAAGGTTAGCAGCCTGATTCGTGACCACCACACTACCAGATAGGATCATTTTAGTACAAACATTTGGTTTTTAAATAAAAGACACATCATATAGTGCTTATGAGGGAGGGGAGATGAGCAAAGAAAATTATTCATGGGTGACAAGGTAAACATGAGTGAAAGGGCAGACAATATACCAGAAGAGGAAGACTAGCAGAGGAAAGAGGAAGGGTGACAGGAGGGAGGGAGTCAAGAAGAGTTTCAGGCAATGGAGATAAATACATGGAACTGATGGTACATGCATGGGATGCCATCACTGTAAGGAGGCAAAGGATCTGGTTTCTTAAATGTGAAGGTGACCATGTGCTCTGTGACCTTTACTAATTCACAAGAAAGTTAAACAAGAAGTTGGTTAGCTTTTGTTTTTTCAGAATACCTAGGGCAACTTGATCATATTTAAATAAAAGGAAAAAAAACAATTCTTATCTTTAGGAAAGAGCCAAAAGATAGCACAGTTGAGCAGGATCGAGACTCCTCTTTCCCCAGTCTTGGAGTTCAGGGCAGCTTTTGAAAGGTCCTTGCCAACAAAATGAAACCTTTGAGAACACAAGAAAAGGAGATGCTGTCGTACCATAGTCCTCAGAATTTAGGTGGATGGACATTATAAAACAACTATAATCTAGTTGGCTCTATTGTCCAGGCTCATAAAAACACCAAAAAGAAAATTTACAAAGAGAAACAACAGCAATGAAATGGTAAATGTTTAAATGATAATAAAGACTATTTTCCCTCTTTGGAGTTTAGTGGGAAGGTCCTATGCCACTTTCAAGACATGCTGCCATCATGTGCGGCATGCAGGTGTAGAGCTGTAGGACAGGTAAGGTCACTTTAAACCAGAGAGTGGTTCCCTGGAAACCCTATACAGGGTCGCTATGAGTCAGAACCAACTGGAAGGCACTTAACAATAACCTGTCAACAGATGGACTACACAGACACTCCACAACAAAGACAGGAGAGACCAAATGAAACAGACACAGGTGAAAATCCTAGCACCTTCAACATCAGAGGAAAAGTAAGAGAAGTGGACTGAATGGCTGCTGAGAGGATAAGCTGAGTACAGACACTGGGGGAGGAAGACAAACTGGGGAACAGACAGACAGACTCATCAGGATCATACAATTACTACTGAACCAATGTATAAATAGTCTTCATTATTTCTTCTGTGTGAAAACATTTCACTTTGAATTGAGTCGTTCAAAAGATGCCCTGAAATTACATCAAGGACTTAAGAGGATTTCTGATCCTGTTCACCTACCGTGTCTATTGCCTTATTGATAAAGGCAAGAATTGGCCTTATTCAGTTTATTTAAATATGTTCAGACTTCTGGTAACACAGCGGACTGAAAAGATGTAATATACAGACCCTCTACAATGAAGATATGAGACATTAAATAAAAAAGACTCAGATGAAAATCCCAGAACCCTGAGCATCAGAGGAAAGGTTAGAGAGGTGGCCTGAGTGCTGGGATGGGAAGCTGAGCAGGGATGGTGAAATAAGCACAGACTGATGAGCCGTCAGTAAGATTTGGCACAGCCATATTATGAGCCACTTAGGCAACAGGATTCTAACAAAACACATTCACACAGGATGAGAAAAGAAGGATTTCTTGTTTTCTAACACACTGCTCTGTTATAATTACAAGGGTGGCCAATTTCCACCTCCATCCAGCATCAGTGCAAACCCTGATCTCCAGTAACTTAGGGTCACCTGTCGGGAGACACTTGAGTTTCATTGGGGGACAGTTGCGCCTCACTGGTGACTTGTTTCAAGTGGGCTCAACTCCAGACCTAAAGAAGCCGTACAGCCATAAGACCAGCACTGAAAAAGTCACGCTGAATCATCGGAAATACCTTGTGCCCTGAGTGTGTCCTTTGGTGGAACAACAATGTTGACTTATAAGCAAACCTTCGGCCACACTCGCTGCAAACAAATGGCTTTTCCCCTGAATGTTTCCTTTGATGGCACAACAAGTTTGACTTCTGAGCAAACCCTCGGCCACACTCACTGCAAACATATGGCTTTTCCCCTGAGTGTGTCCTTTGGTGGCACAACAAATTTGACTTACGAGTAAACCCTCGGCCACACTCGCTGCAAACATACGGCTTTTCCTTTGAGTGTGTTCTTTCATGGCACAACAAGTATGACTTATCAACAAACCCTCGGCCACACTCACTGCAAACATATGGCTTTTCCCCTGAGTGTGTCCTTTGGTGGCGCAACATGGTTGACTTACGAGCAAACCCTCGGCCACACTCATTGCAAACATATGGCTTTTTCACGGAGTGTGTGCTTTGGTGGCACAAGAAGGTTGACTTATAAGCAAACTCTCGTCCACACTCATTGCAAAGATATGGCTTTTCCCCTGAGTGTGTTCTTTCATGGCCCAACAAGTTTGATTTCTGAGAAAACCCTTGACCACACTCACTGCAAACAAATGGCTTTTCCCCTGAGTGTGTCCTTTGGTGACACAACAAGGTTGACTTCTTAGCAAATCCTCGTCCACACTCACTGCAAACATATGGCTTTTCCCCTGAATGTGTCCTTTGGTGAGACAACAAGGTTGACTTCTGAGCAAATCCTCGTCCACACTCACTGCAAACATATGGCTTTTCCCCTGAGTGTGTCCTTTGGTGAGACAACAAGGTTGACTTCTTAGCAAATCCTAGTCCACACTCATTGCAAACATAGGGCTTTTCCCCTGAGTGTGTTCTTTTGTGGCCCAATAAGTATGACTTCTGAGCAAACCCTTGGCCACACTCACTGCAAACATATGGGTTGTTCCCTGGGTGTGTCCTTCTGTGTCTGCGCAGGACTGACTTATGAGCAAACAGTCGACCATAATCACTGCCATCATATGGCTTGTCCCTTGAGTATTGTCTTTGGTGGCACAGTAAGGCTGAATTCTGAGCAAACCCTTGACCACACTCACCAGAAACATGTGGATTTCCCCGGAGGACGGACCTCTGGTTTGTGATGAACTTTGACTTCAGGCCACAGTCTGTTCCACCCTCTCTGTAGCTGACTGCTTCAAATCTTACAGTTTCAACTTCCTTCAGTGTTTTATCTGTTTCAACAGATGGCACAGTCTGGGTTGAGTTGGGCTTTATGCCTACACCTGTGTAGCCTTCTCTCAGCCTTGCTGAAACTCTTTGGGGTGGGCTACTGAGTTCCCATAACATCTTTCCTTCCACTCTGCTCACACACAAGGTATGGGCGAAGTCTTCTCTATCATAACCGTCTGTGTTTTCTTTCCAGAACCTCTGATCAAAATCCTGCTTGTCAGGCTGTTTCTGTGACTCTGGTATGGAAGACCCTGAATGGAAGGGACACTCTGCACATAAACCCGGGAAAGTCTGAAGTACATATTGACTGAAAATTTGTTGGCAGGAGAAAGACAGAAAACAGGAGAAACAGTGCTGGGTTTCTGGCTTTGGTTCTACAAAAAAACAAAGATGTCAGTTAGTTCAGCCAAGATTGGGACAACTGTAATCCAGAAAGGATTCCATGGCACTTAACAATATTAACAACCATGGAGATTGATGTGGTGCGACAGGATAAATGCTGGAATGCCATCTGCCAGATTAGTGGTTCAAACTCACTAGTTGTGTGTTAAAAACACTACACAGGGTTGCTAAGTGTCAGGGGAGACTCAATGGCACTTAATAACAATAACTGCTAAATATCACGAACATTTCCTGATAAACTTTGTCGCCCAGGGATGTGGTCTTTGGTAAAGTGTCTCTTCATGTCCTCTTTCCACTTTCAATTAGATGATGTGTCTTTTAATTGGGGACACAGTGACTCATTCTATATATTGTAACATTAGTCCCTTGTCTGACATGTTGCTTCCAAAAATATTTTCCCAGTCTTTTGTTTCTATTGGCACTCTTTAGGTGATATCTTCCAATACACACAGGGTCCAAGTTTTATCAGGTACCTGTCATCTATTCTGTTTTCTCTTCTGTGTGTGTTGTCACTTACGTTTCATGGTAGATTCGTACTGTTTATCAGAGCCCCTGAGTTTGCCCTTATTTTCCCATTAGTGGTACTTATATTTGTAGAGTTACATTTAGGACTTTAATCAATGTTGACTTTCTTTCACTATACAGTGTGCTAATTAGATCTTGTTTTATTTCTTAGCAATGGGATTTCCAATTTTGACACTTTTTTGCCCTTTAGTTTCCTTTTTACAAGAACTTTTTACAGTCCTTTTGTATATAAGATTCACTGTTTTCTGTCTCCTTATACTTGAAGGTAAGTCCTAAGTATTATATTTAATAATATGTTCTCACTATCTAGAGTATTATCTGGTTCTCAGTGAAAACAAAGCAAACAAGTTCATGGACATATATTAGCATCTACCTCATGACCAACTTATTATGTGTTGTAGAATAGAATTGCCACAGAGCCAAAAATAGTAAAAAACCTATCAAATTCTCTGGAGTCATATGGTCACATAGATCTACTGCAAACAGTTAGGTTCAAAGTGCCAACCTTTCACTTAAGATCAACTTTGTTTAACTACTAGGCCTACAAGACTCCTTCAGCCCATTTATTGTTAAGTGACATTGAGTCACTTCTGAATCATACTTTAGAATCTGTGTAGAGTCTCTGAGACAAGGTGATGGGTTTGAATCAATGACATTCAGGTCCAGTGCATTACCCTATAGCACCACATCAGATCTCCCCATTTGGGTACAGAGCAGAGCCCAGTAAGTGTATCTGCTGAATTCATGAAGGAAAAGATGACAGCACATTCTCACCCAATGAGAAAACATTCTGGTATGTCTCAAGCATCACTTCTTTGTAAAGGTTTTTCTGCTCAGAGCTCAGTTTCTTCCATTCTGCCTCTGTGAAGACCACGGCGACATCTTCGAATGTAAGTGGTTCCTAGTACAAGCGATAAATGCACAGCAAATTAAGCAGGACTTTTCACCATTTGAGGAATTCACTGGTGACTTAGAAGATCGTGGACATTAGTAAGTTCATCTAATTTTGTTCATTAAACAAGAAGTTCTGGACAAAACTAGGCACCCACCAGTGCAAGAAATTCTGTGGGGACCATCAATGATTCACAAAACATACCCTGACCCTCAAACATGTATCCTCAATGAAGAAAAGATCTGTGAATTAATTTGAGACCTGTAAGCAGAATTCAAAAAAGCGACTTAAAGAATTCATGATGGAAGGATGGGATATAAAAGAAGAAAAGAAATACTGGATGTGTTCTAGTGTTAAGTATCAAGAGATAGTGAAGACTGAAAGGAGAACCGGAAGGGAAATTTCAATTATAAGAAAAGTGAGTAGACAGATAACTTCTGCATGAAATATTTTTGACAAGTTCTGCTAACTATTCTGATGGACTTTTTAAAATGATTTTAATGAACTTTTCCAATATCCTTAACTCTTCACACACACAGAAGAGTACTAATTCATCTATGGAAATAGTGGTCGAGAGAATGTAATATTCCATTAAAATGATGTTTATAGACAGTATCTTACACTGTGTGTCACGTCTTCTAGTGCAGAAACATTCTCCTCACCTCCCACATACGTGGAACATCTGGTCCCGCCACCAGTACAAACAAAACTGAGTCACTGGCTGCTATCTAAAAGGCCAAGTTCCTAGATGCAAAAAACTACCCCCTCCAAAGTCCACTCTGATGGATTCTTGAAGGCCCAACTCCTTCCGATTTACCAAGGTGGAGGCCAACCTGTCCACCCAATGCTAGGTTCTATGTACTACACGCCCTGATTAGGGATGAGAGGTGATGGGTTAATGTCATGGGGGATGAGTGACACAATACCTAGTACTGTCACTCTTAAAGATAACGGAAATCTTATTAAACAACAAATATTGCACCCTGTTACCATGGACTCAATTCGGACTCACAGCACCTTTATATGGAGAAGTACAATTGCCCCATAGGGTTTCTGAGACTAAATCTTTCTGAAGCAAATGTCTCCAAATCTTGCTCCTGCGCAGGCCATGGTGGCTTCATGTGGCCCTTGTGGGTAGCATAAAAGACCTAACTGATACACCTTAAGGGTCCTGAAAGCATTTTACTGAGGTAAAATTTAAAATTCACTGGCTTCACAACTCACCCACTTTCAATGCAGAAATCCTCACTATGCAGAGACCTATGAATTTCACCGGTATCTTAAATTCCAGCAGGGTCACCCATGGTGGACATGTTTCAGATGAGCTTCCAGACGAAGAGAGACTAGGAAGGAGAGACGAACTACTTCTGAATATCTAGTCACTGAAAACCTTATGAACAGAGAAACACTGTCAGATATAGTGCTGGAAAATGAGCCTCTCAGGTTAGAAGGCACCCAAAATACGACTGGAAAGAGCTGCCTCCTCAAAGTAGAGGTGACTGTGATGACATGAATGGAGTAAAGCCCATGGGAGAAAAGCCCGCGGGACCTTCATTTGCTGATGGGGCACAATTAAAAATGAACAGAAACACCTGTAAACATCCATTAATAATTAGAATATGGAATGTATTCTAGGAAAATTAGAAATTGTCAAAAACTAAATGGAATGCATAAACATCGATATCTTGGGCATTAGTGAGCTGAAATGGACTGGTATTCACTGTTTTGAATCTGACAACCACCTGGTTTACTATGTTGAGAATGATAAGTTGAAGAGGAATGGTGTTGCACTCATTGTCAAAAAGAGGGTATCCAGCTCAGTTATGAGGTACAACGCTGTCTATGACAGGATAATATCCATGCGCCTACAGGGAAAGGGTTGCTATGGGTCGGGATCGACTCCACGGCACTTAACAACAACAAAAACAACATAGGGAAGACCAGTTAATACGTCAATTATTCAAATTTACATACCAACTACCAAAGCTAAAGAGGATGAAATCGAAGAATTCTACCAAGCAAACATGCAATCAAGATGTATTCATTATTACTGGTGATTGGAATGCAAACGTTGGGAGCAAAGAGGAAAGATCAGTAGTTGGAAAATATGGCCTTGGTGATAAAAATGATGCTGGAGATCGCATGATAGAATTCTGCAAATCCAATGATTTGTTCATTTCAAATACCTTCTTTAGACAGCATAAGAGACAACTATACACATGGACCTCGCCAGATGGAATACACAGAAATCAAATTGACTACATCTGGGGAAAGAGACGATGAAAAAGCTCCATTTCATCAGTCAAAACAAAGCCAGGGGCAGATTGTGAAATAGACCATCAATTGCTCATAGGCAAATTCAAACTGAAGCTGAAGAAAATGAAAAAAGTCCACGAGAGCCAAAACATAACCTTGAATATATCCCACTTGAATTTAGAGATCATCTGAAGAACAGATTTGATACAATAAACACAGAAGATCGCAGTCCAGAGAGTTGTGGGATGACATCAAGAGCATCATACAGGAAGAAAGCAAAAAGTCATTAAGAAGGCAAGAAAGAAGGAAAAGGTCAAAATGGATGTCAGAAGAGACTCTGAAACTTGCACTTCAGTGAAGAGATGCTAAAGCAAACGGAAGAAATGAGGAGGTACAAGAGCTGAACAGAAATTTTCAAATATCACCTTGAGAAGATAAAGCCAAATATTAAAACAAAATGTACAAAGATCTGGAGTCAGAACACCAAAAAAGAATACGCTCAGCATTTTTCAATCTAGGGGAACTGAAGAAAAAATTCAAGCCTCGACTTTCGTTATTGATGGATTCTTTGGGCAAATTACTGAATGATGCAGAGAGCATCAAAAGAAGATGGAAAAAATACACAGAGTCACTGTACCAAAGGAAATGGCTGATGTTCTACCGATTCAGGAGGCTGCACATGATCAAAAATCAATGATACTTAAGGAGGAAGTCCAAGGTGCATTGAAGGTACTGGCAAAGAACAAGGCACCAGGAATTGAGGGAATAAAAACTGAAATCTTTAAGGAAGTGAGGAGGCAC